GATCAAAACCAAACACACTGAAGTTCGGTGTAGATGAGAAGGAACACCTGCTTTCATAGCAGCTAATGAAGCCTTGAGCCACAAGCCTCAAGCAGAGCTGTGCAGCGGGCTACAGAGTTCTGCTGAGCTCCCTTCTTTGTAATTCACCTAGATTGTTTCAATTTCCAAACTTCAAACCCAACCAAGTGACACCACTTGAAGCCATTTATCAGATTTCATGCAGCTCCCTCCACAGCCACAAAAGGTTTATACAACAGTTTTTCACATACCAAACAGACTTGAGTGTGTAACAATGTCTGATCTTGGTATTTAACATCTAGTAACTAAATTATTATTACAAATTCTATGGTTAAGTATAAAAAAAAAAAATCACCGTTTCTACTTTAATACAGGAAATATGGAGATATGATGCTTTTAATGATATTCAACAAAATCCTCCATCTTTCACTGACATTAACCAAAGTGCTAAACCTAAGAGGAACTTCAATGTGGTACATAAATGTATTGTTTTATTTACCTAAAGTACTAAAAAATGTTGCCTCTGATTTTAAATTACATAATTTTTCAGATGTTCATGTTGTATATTGTTTAAATTGCAAGGTTACCTACAGTTTAATGATTTATTTAGTTTTTTTTTTTAACTGACATGATGAAAAACAAATAAAATACACTCCATGCTACACATCTGTACAGACTCAGCAGTTCTAAACATATTAGCACCTAATTTCCACAATCTGGACCTCTAACAAAATACTAAGAACTTATGGATATTGACATCAGTTGATGAACATTTTTCGACATAGCTGTTTCTTAAAAACTCAAATATAACCAACTAGTGGGTGCTTGCCATTACAGTACATAACAAACTAGCACTTTTTCTTTTCCCTTATAATTAGTACCAAACTGTGTAGGCTTTTTTTTGGAAATGTCCTAGTAATTAGCAGCTAAATACCAGCTAATTTATAGGAAATGATGCACTATGTTTCCAGGGAATTGGAAGGAAAATACAGCACCCACACTGGAAAGCCTTGCCCCAGACCTTTCTATTTTTACTTTAAAAAGATGTAACTTCTCAATGACAAACATCACTTTCTTCAGCTGTATTTGTCAGTGCCTAGGTTACATTTTTGACAAACAGCTGATGTGCATACCCTACATGCAAGTTCACACACACAGCCAGGACAAAAACTAGCCACTCATACTGCAGCACCTGTCAGCTGGTGTTCTGGGACAGCCAAGGGCTTGTTTGTTTGTTTGTTTATCTCTCTCTCTCTCCCACCCCATTTCTATATATATATATATATATGTGTGTGTGTGTGTGTGTGTGTGTGTGTGTGTGTGTGTCTCTCTTTTTCCCTCTACACCCTCTCACCTCTCCACCTGCTGTTCCTTCCTTCACTCCATCCCACCTCTCTGTCTGTCTCACTTCATACCAGCCATCATACCACCATGCATTAGATCTCTCTCTCTCTCTCTCTGTGTCTCTGCACCTGTGACTGACAAACAGACTCCCTCAGTCTTTCTCTGCCTTCCTGCTCATTACAGCCCGCAGGCAGCCACTCCATCACAGAGAAAAGGCAGAGATAAGCTACAAGAGTACACCTGTGTCTGCTATGAATGCCAAATCTAGAGTCAGTGACAGCCAATTCCAGGCCAAATAATGGAATCAGTGAACCTCAGCTTCAGACGAATCAACCTGACAGCTTTATCTCCCACTCCCAATTTCAAAGCATGCTACAAAAGTCATTATCAAATGAGAAAAGCAATCAGTAAAAAAAAAAATGTTGACACGTCCACAATGCAGCTCGCGAGGGATTAAATTTATAAAGCTCATTTACAGAACAGGGACAAAATAGGAAACGTCTTTATTCCATCATTGAGGTGTTACTAAGTATTATTTGATCAAAGAAACTAAAATGTGTTACATCACATCATCATATTATATCATTTATCATCATACCACTACATGCTATATTAATAAACATATTTGAATAAATAAAATGAAACATTCTCAATAAACAACTATCAGCAACAACAATAATAATAATAATAATAATAATGATATGGAAAATGGGGAGGTGCAATAAAAGCTGTGGGTCGGAAATTTGGATAATTCTTTATTGTACAATACTGTAATAATTTCCTAGAACATTTTATCTGGTACCAATAATAAGTAGCCAAGATTCAGATCTTTATTTTCCCTTGAAGGGACATTTGATTTGCAGTAGGAGGACAAAAACATGAACACAACATATAAGAGGAGAAGGGACATTAATCACACTAATAACAGTAACAGCAAAGCAGCCAAGAATAAAATGTAAATATTCTTTAAAAACACAGTAAAGTGCTAATATACTGCTGCTGAGAAATGCAGACAGGACTTAGTGCAAGTTGAGCATAATAATAATAATAGGAAACCATAATAAGGTGCTGCAGAACAAATACAGTTAAGACTTATTAAGTGCATTAATTGCACAAGAAACAAAGGAAAATCTGTACCGATTACATTTTACCCTGGGGGGGTCTTCTTTCTCTGCCCAGACCAAGGGTAAGAAAAAAAAAATCCTCCAATAGAGTGTGGTCAGGGACAGACAAGACTGACCATGTCTTCCTCTAACTCATCAGAGAGAGCCAGTTATTTCGCTGACTATTTTAGACAGACAACTTTTGTTTTGCACAGTAAGGTTCCCAAACCAAGGGATTATACAAAAGGTTCAAATGGACTGGAAAAAATACTTCATAAATAAAATAAGCAATGTTTTGTCCATATTAAAAGTGCTCAGTCTGTGCAGAAAATCTGTGCAGACCTTTTCTGCAGAACGCAGATGTGTTAAGTTCATATTTTTGTCAGCTGTTGTTCCCAGGTTCTTGTACCACTCAACTGCTTCAATAAGTGAGCCCTTAATCACAGCTGGGGGGTAGAGAGAGAAGTATTCCTGAGGTCAATGACCATATCTTAGGTTTTGTTAAGGACGTGGTTGTCACACCGCTCTACAAAGTCTCTCACAACTGGTTCATGATGATCCTGTTCGTAAGGGGAAATTTTAAAAATCCCTCAAAGAGCTGCCATATAAATACTCTAATATTTTTGAAACTTTATTTTCCATACATACATGTAAATCTAAATTCAAACAGACAATATTTTTGCCTTTTTGGGCTTACCTGTTGCAATGATTAATGCTTATTATTAGTTGGTAGTTTACCAGATTAAAACTGTTTACTTTCTCTATAATTGGTACCAAATTGCACAGGTTTTTTTTTTTTTGTTTGTTTTAAACAGGAAGCATATTGGAATTTAAGAATGTCGAAAAGCGCTGGAGGCTTGACGTTTTCACATCACACATGTTTTGTACTGGACCGTGACTGGCATCCAAACATATGAGGTTACAAATCCTGCTCATTCATTTGCTCAGGTTTAAGGTGAGCACAGAGGAAATTTCCTCCTCCTACTCGGCACAGCTCAAACATCAAAATGAAGGAATAATTAACAAAACACATAAGCGAGTGGGGGTTTAGCAGAGTATAGCAGGTTTTTTGGCCTCACTGGTATCAGGATCAACTGACTGTTATAATAAACAGGACTCGGCTCACAGGTCGAGTCTACTCTACAGTAGTTAGCTCCTCCTTTCTGAGCTGTTATCTATGAGCATTCATGACATAGAGAGCAAGAGACGGTGTGTGACAGAGTGTGTGTCCACCACATGATTATAGATTTAGTAAACTCCATCCTTAGTGTGACTCAATCAGCAACTGGTTTGTTGGTTGGATGGATACTGATGATGGGTGTGCGCGCTCATGCATATATACAAGTTCCACATTTTCCTCAAAGTTATGTAGCTGAGCCAGTGTAGCTGAGTGTAACTATGATTTTATTTACTTGTGAGTATATGTGTGTGTGCGTGTGTGTGTACATATATGTATAATGTCACTGCTGGTTAATTAAAAAGCTTTTTGCTGATGAAGGCTGAAACTGATGATTTATAAACTTGAATACACAAAGAAGATTATAGGATTAGTCTAAAAACCTGCAGCAAGTGTGAAGTATAATTAGAATAAAACATGCGTATGTGTCCGACTGCATGGATCTGTGAGTCTCTGCTAACCTCTCCGCTGTGAGTCGATAATTCTGAAATACCACAGTGTAAATCATTGATATTAAATCCATTTTATGTTGTAGGCTGACCCGGAAAAACAAAATCATGGCTACACCTGCTCTCCCGATAATTGGAATAAGACTGAAGATGAATTTATTTCCTGAATTTAAAGTAGTTCCCTGTAGCATCGGGCTCCAATCAAGGTCTCATCTCCCCTATTCATTACACTAATCAATGATGTCCAAATCCTCCAGGTTTACATTCTCAGCATACAATATATGCTGGGCCTAACACCCAATAAGCCAGCTGGACAAGCAAATCGAGCAAATAGGTCAATGGAAAAGGAGAATCAGGAGGCAGAAAGTCATTAAAAGAGAAAAATCCCATCTCAAACTGCTCGTGCCGATCAAAACCTTCAAAACACAGATCAGAGACATGACTATGAGCTACAGGGTGGACTGCAACAGAACTACAACAGGATGAACACAGCATTAACTGTGGTATCTGGTTTAAACAACACACGAGCATAAACATATTGTACTAAAAGCACAAGACACAAGGCAGCGTTCTTCTTGCTCCCATTACAGGTAAAGGAAAGTTAGGAAATATGTCCAAAAAAACATATATACTGTATACAATTTTTTCAAGCTTGTGGACATTTGTAATTAATATTTTTCCTACACAAAACATGACTGAGACATCATATTTTTTATGACTTCATGTGCAAGACAGTTGTTGAAGAATAATAAAAGACCAGCACTATAATGCAGACTTGTCAAAAATATGACGTTATCATTTACATTACCTTTTGACTTATGAGAATCATTTTGTGTTGTAATAACTTCAATACATGAGTCATTCTTAAAAGCAGGAAGTGGTGGAGACCTCAATAAGACTGTTACTCACCAAGGCCAGGCGGGTTCTCGGGGCATGGTGGCAGCGGTTTGAGGGAAGGAGTCTGATTGGTCTCCGGCTGCATGCTCAGGGCCAGCTGCTCGCCCGTGGCCAGATAGCTGGCTAATGTTGTGTTGGGCTTGGAAAGGTTGTAATAATAATAATGATGTCCGCTCCCAGCTGCTCCGGTGCCATTATTCCTCGATCCGTTGCGTCCGTTGTTGAAGCGGCTGAAGAGGTCAAAGCGCTGTGAGTACACGTCGAAGTACAGGATCATCATGATGAGGAAGTGGAGCAGGCAGAGCAGCAGGACACCTTTACAGATGCGCTCCAGAGTCCGGCCCAACATCAGCCGGGTCATGGCCGAGGAAAGTGGCTGTCCTGTGATGGCCAGCCACGACAAAGCTGGCGTGGTGAAGCTACAGGCATGCAGTCATACCGACAACCATGTGGGTAATATCAGCTGCTGTGAGATCTCTAATTAAAATGTGGTTAGATGATACTTCTGCAGGGGTCATGGGGTCATTAAAGAAGATAGGGAGGCTACACCATCAGCTCCACCAAAAGTCTGAGATGCCCGCTGGTTGTGTGTGTACCCAGTTTCCCCGCATGACAAAAGTACTAAAATGTTTCCATCAGCCTTGATCCCAGAAGATTGGTCATTTAAGAACTAGTAATGTTTCATTTTAAATATGGCAAATATGTATAAATACCAAGTTCAGTGTAATCTAAGACATAAGGCACCTGGTGCATATAGAGTAGGATGGCTCTGATATTTACATGTGATCATATGTTGACTTAGTCACTATCGCAGTGTGAAGTTGCTGCTGCGGCCATGTGGTATGCCACTATTAAAAGCCAATCCTATCAGTCCAAGAACTAGTGCTCCAAACAGCCAACCAAAAGTGATCCCAGCGATGGCACACGACTGGCTGCCGCTGACAAGCGCTCATCAGTTTGTTGACAAGAGCTGATGTTTCGGTAAACATATGGCGTCATATCAGTCACATTTGCAGTTTGTTGGTTGGTGATCACCCAAATGCTGGCCTCTTGGTTGGTAGCCTTAAACCAGGAAAGTCTCGGGCCCCTGGAGGAAAATAAAGACAAAGGAAAATAAATTAGGATGAGGCCAAATCAATGCTAAATGCTATTTAATTAAACTGATTATGTTTAAGTAAATGGATGGCTCTGTGCTGTTAAATAATGTTAATGTTTTTAGCTGTGCATTTTCACTCAATACAGTGACCTGTTGTATTATTCCCTGCACAAAATCAAACTGAACATTATCGATCTTCCTCTGGCATTTTAGGCCTATTGAGTGACCTTGTTCTTATTCCATACAGCCTGATTGAAAAGAGCAATAAATTTAGAAGTTCACTCTCAGTAGAAAAAGAAATACACTTGACAATTTGACAGAAACAGACTAAACAACAAAAGCATCAACAGACACAAGCAAACAAGGAGCCTTGACTGGGGTGGTTCGGCTGAATTGACATGCCAAGTCAATTTTCCAGTCAAGTGGTTTAAAAAGCATTTATGGTGGAATGAAATGGCAAGTGGGAATACTCAATGCGGTGACCATATGAGCAAAGGAGAACAAGAGGGGGCACTTAGAGCTTTTCCCACTGGTGATGCTTTCTGTAGGTTTATGGTGTTTCCAATCAGTGAATGAAAAGAGGAAGATGAAGCTGAAGCAGACAACAAACCATGAATGACATCGGACTCTGTGACGACAAATCGACAGCCATGAAAATATTTTTGCAAAATTACACTGTAGAACTGATACATCGACCACGATGAGAAGAAGAGATACAGTTGAATAACATCTTTAGCATAAAGCTATTATTATGTCATTCAATATCTTGTCAGTTTTGTATATACTAATCTGATACTTTAACCTAAACTACTTGGCCTGGGTGTTTTGTAGTGTAAAACCATGTTAAATAGAGCTGGATATCACAACTGAACACATTTTTGGTAAGGACCAACATTAGTCTGCAGAACCAAGAGATGAAAGCTGATCCTGAATGGGAAGGAGAGGGATTGTGTTTAAGTTTCCTAACAAAGAAGTCATTTTTTAAACGTTGTCAGAGGCAGCTGCCTTGGCAAAAATTGTTAATCTATTATTAATTGGTGTCATCAAAGAAGGTACAGTAGGCTGCAACTAACGATTACTCATTTCAGATTAGACAGGAAGAGGCTACAGCAAACTAAAACATATGTAGGGTGGCTGAGCTGATTGCTGCTGCTTGTCCAGACAGTTGGCTGCCTCTTACAGCGCCTGGCTTTTGTCTGTGGGCAGCAAAGTCTAGACTGCCAAGACTGAGTCTCAAGGGGTCTGTGTGTATGTGAATGGTGCGGTTGTGAATGCGTATGAAACTTGCTAGTTAATAATATGAGCAAATGACCCAGACCACGCATGCCGATCACACGACAATGCTGGTGCAGGTCAGGGTTTATTTCCTAGCCACGCTGTTCTTCAGTGACTAAATGGGCTGGCATGTGATGTTATCAGGCCGAAATTCTTCAAACATGTAGTCAAGCAGTCAGACAGAAAAGTTGTGCTCCATTTTCTGCTTCATCCACAGAGCTCAGGGGAAAACAGGTTGCCCACAGTGTCCAACAGGTGTTGAACCGTATGAGAGTGAAGTGTAGCACTGTTAAGAATCAGCAACAGGAAAACAGAAGAAATGAATCCATAAACAGGATCAAGGTCCTTCTCTTCCCCAGACATCCAGCTGCAGAAGATGCATCAGATAACTGAGCAGATACAACACAAACCAGTGCTTTGTCTCTCATGTGGGGTACAAAAACAAAGAAAAAAAAAGCTAGAGCCACACGCGGTTCAGCCTTTTTATTGACTTTTCACTCAGCTGACCTTTCTCAAATACTATCAAGTTGTTGTTTTTTTATGTTGAAAAAGGTCAGCAGACCAAAACAAAAGACAATAAGAGAAAAGTGCAGAGAAAATTCTTTCGTTTGCTCTCTTGGTTCTGTCTCCCTCTACCTCCTTTCTCGCTCTGGGACCTCTCACAGGGATTGTCTATATGACAGCACAGGGTGTTCACTTTCAGCTTAATATGTAAACCTCACTTTGGAGAGACAACAAAACAAGGAATAAGTCTACGAAGACAGTGAGGATTACAAGCCAGAGAAAGACCAAGGACAGAGAAAAGAAAAGACAGACAGCTGTGGTAATAGAGAGAAATAGGTCCTTAATGTAATAAGTTTATTCAAGGATCCCTGGCTTTTTAATAATAGCAATAAATGCCATAACAGTCTGAGGAAGTCTAAGAAACCAACAGAGAAATGCTATGAATGTATGTGGAATACGAATGCCCATTTTTATCTCTATTACGTTTGTTAAATGAGCAGACCAAGGAATCCAGATGTCCAGGGGAAGAGTTTAAATAGCTGTAGTTCAACAAATCAGAATCAGCTTTATTGGCCAGGTGTGTTGGACACATGAGGAATTTGACTCTGGTACAGTGGCTAATGTGAGGTGAATACAAGGCCGTGGTTTAACAAACATATTAGATATCAGTTACCCACTGGTCTTCATTGGACTGCGGGATTTTTATGTTATGTGTGTATGTTATGTTAGGCTATGTGTCATTTTGAGACTTCAGGTTATGCTGTTGCTGTACTTTTACCCCTTTTCTGAAATAAATTTCTCACCCACAGGAGACAATAAAGGGACCTTGACCTTGAGATGACCATCATCATCATCATCAGTGAGTAGGTACAGTAGGTAACAGACCACCAAAGATGGAAATGCATACCAGACAATCAAAGCAAGATTAATGAAAACAACAACAGTACAGTACTGTATGTAATGGCCTCATCTTCATAATGTATAAGGCTTTGTGTAGCACATTCCATTGTGTCTCCCACCACAGAAATTAGTGGGCGCACTCACCGCTGTGTGAAGCTGCTGCAGAAAGTGCAGCTTCAGTGACAGAGGCTGACAACCATGCTACTGTAACTCATTCTTCAGGGGATGGTGGATTAATCCTAATACTGTGAAAGAGGATGTAGCCATAGTGAGCTTCCACACCTTTTACATATCATTTAACTACTGTTTGTTGTTCACAAAACCACTGACACCACAGTCTGAGCCAGTGCCAATGCATTCTTCACACTCCCATTTCATTTCAGAAGCTTAACTTTTAATGCACAACAAACCAATATACTATAGCCTGTAGTGTGCCACCAGAACACTTAAGACTTTTACTGTTTAGACATGTATAATTAATAAAATTACATTTTAAAAATCTACAATAACAAGACAGGTTTAAGCTGAATTCATATTTTGCACAGGGGAAGACTCATGATAGAAAGATCCAGTTATAGCCAAACTGATCGATCAACAGAAAACTGATCTGCACCTATTTTGGTAATCAATTAATTGTTGCAGTTCAAGCAAAAATAGTGAAACAATGCTAAATATTCTCTGATTTCTAAAGGCAGTTTCCTGCTTTTCTTATTTTATTTAAACTAAATATTTTTCTATATTGGGACCTTTCAGTCAAACTAAATGACCTCATCAACAGATTAATCAATAATGAAAATAATGATCAGTTGCAGGCCAAGGGCCAATAAATAGTTGCAATCAATATTTCAAAGTCATTAATCTGTGTTTAAATTTAACAGAATCTTAAGGGAGGTAATGGGGTAATAGGGCCTGGTTGAAGTGGCCATGCTACACCTGCATTAATATGATTGGACGTTCCAAGTCAGCTGGTTGCCATACAGCCAATGGAGTGTGAAGCACAAATGAAGACAGTATATGTAAAACAAGTTTTCTGTGTGGCTACACAAACTTTTTAAGGCTTTAAATAAACTCTTTAATACACTACTTGTTTAATAATTTCTGCTCTTGTCACATAAATGTAAGGGATGCCTCACTTGCATACTTGAAACTCTCGCGTGCGCACACACACACACACACACACACACATCAAGAAGTGCATTTAGATGTAGAAAGGTGCCAGCTAAAGCTAGCATGATATCTACAACATCTGTATCTTAGAATTTTAATTGCTTGCCAGACGGGTGGCCAGACTGTTATTTTGTGATGGTACATACTTAATAAAGTCTAGGCCAAGCATATGCTGGAGGGAGAGATGGTCTGTGATGGAACAGAGGGCTTTTAATGTGAAGGGACAGCTCAAAACAAACTATGCTGTCAAGAACAAGAATTGCTGTCATGTTGTCAGATTAATGATTTTATCTAAAATATGTAAAGGCAGAGCTTTGTGTCAGAAATCATAACTTCCACAGTTTAACTGTGTGCGAGCTGCTCTGGAAACACTTTGTCCTCCTGTGTTAACCGCTGGTCAGCTGGACCACATGTGCAGGGCCAAGCGGTCAAAACCGAGCTTGGGGAATTGTAGCAGGTAACCTTTCAGTCACAAGTTCAGTTCAGTCAGTCTGCGGCATCGACTGAAGAGAATATGGCCACCATGGTGGCTCCCACGAGTGGCTGCTTCCAGTATAGATCTTAAATCTGGCCTCTTCCATTTTACTGGATGAGACATGAGCCAAAATTAAAACACCAACCACGAACATAATACTAAGGACGAGCCCCCTGACCTCAGCTCCTTAGTCGACTTGGCCATTCTGATTGACAGACAACTGGGTTATTCCTGTACAGAGCGAACAGGGCGGCAGTCAGCCCCACGAACCCGAGCCACAGCGGAACCACCAGTCGAGGCCCGGGTTCCTCTCCGTATGGGGGCCACCAACACCAGCAACCGCCACTTTCCAGAGGAACCGATGGACCTGGGACACGCCCGTCTTCACCCCGAGGAGCGGGCCCGCCATATCCGCACCGGGTCATGCCTGTACTGTGGATCACCAGGACACCTCATCGCTGCCTGCCCGGTGCGGCCAAAAGAGCGGGTCCGCCAGTGAAAGTGGGGACACTGACGGGCCGTTCCACCATTTCCACCAGGTCCATCACCAGCTGCTGTCTTCCTGTGCTCTTAGAAACCGGCGGCGAGAGGTTTTCCCACCTGGCTCTCCTGGACTCTGGGGCCGGGAGCAATCTTATGGATCTCGGTTTGGTGGAGCTACTAGGCCTGG